TTATTTTAGTTTGAGATTAATTTATGCATTATATATTTTAAATATTAGAAGTTTTTAATTTAACCCTTTTAATTTTTTAAAACATTTGTAGTTAAGTATGTTGGTTTCGGAGATGATTTTTTTTTAAGTACTTACGTACTAATACCCTTGGGAAAGTTATGAATCCATCTCTTCTCTCCAAACTATGGCTAAACGGTAAAACAGACTGGGTTCCGTAGCTTTTGTGACCAAGTAAATGGTTAAGTAATAATAAAAACCAGGTTTGCTAATATATCGTATATTAAAAAGTAAGTACACCAGAAGAGTATTACACGACTAGTGAGAGTGTATCGAATGAACTAGCGCTAAATCTATTCACAGTTCATTGTTCTGCGAACCTACTCGCCTACTACACTTATAGTAGGCGGAAAAGTCTAACATAGACTCTTAGAGGGAGGACACTACAACAATATCTTTGGCTGACAACACAGTCTAGAGGAAGGAAAAACTGAATTCAAAACCTTCAACAATGGGCAAATTGTAGGGTAGTCTGGTGTCTGTAGCCATGGTTGCCAAACAGACTAGAAGAAGGGCAACTCTGAATATAAATTGGAGACGGAGTCATTAAGACAGCCTGATGTCATTTTCAATATCGTTCTGGCAACTCCTGCGACGTTGCTGGTGCCAAGCTGTAATGGCGTCTGCATTTCGCTTGGACAACGTCGGTGGCCTGGAGAGGTGAGACATCCTGCATGTACAACTACCGTCATCTAATAAAAATGAATCCAACCCAGGTCTGCACACTTCGGGCGCAGATCCATAGATTCTCGAAACCGTCAGATGCAATCATTTCTGATATACAGAATGTTATTAATTCCAGATCACTCACCTATAGATGTCCTGCTAATTTGAATTTGAATTTAATTACTCTTAAATATTTTTATGTCCTAATGCTAATAGAAAAAAAAGACTATTATTTATACACAATAAAGAAAGCATTCAATTGCGTCTTTCAGCAGAAACCATTTGGTTGAATCTATTAGTGTTTGTAATGAGGTACTAAATAATTTTTGTACCAAGTATATCTGGTAAAACAGTGAAAGATTTGTATAAAACTAAATTCTGTACAGATATATAATGTGATTTATCTTTACCTGGCATTTCGACTCCAGTCACTTTCTCACAAACGTAATGTGGCTTCCCTCTGTCTTTTCTATTAGGTTGGCGCAAAAATAATGACGTAATAATGTCGTTTTTTGACGTTAAAAAATACGTAAAAAATCATTATTACGTCATTGCACCAACCTAATACATATATTTTCATGGCAACTGCTCTGACGAGCTAATTTCACTGGTGCCTAAGTTGCATGAATTTAGACGTGCTACTAGGTTGGCATCTCGGTCCCACACTTTTACTGGCGAAACAGTTAAGCGTAACCACCTCTTCTACTTCAACAACTTATTCTCTTAGACTTTCTGACAGTTGACTTCCTTCCTCTTAATTGCTTCCTTGATAACTATAATATTAAAAAAAAATTAAGGGTAATGTCAATCGACATCTTCTGAACTTGAACCCCGTCCTTCTCTTTATCCTCAAACACCTTTCTTAACTCTTCCTTTCACTCGCTGTAACCCCTTGCGTGTTAGTGGCATTCCTGTCTTGTATGAGGCGAAATGATTAAAAAATAATAAAAATAGTTTATGTTGTACTAACCAAAAATCCTATTAAACCCGGACCATATTGGTCACTCACTTTGTGTTCCACTCGTTGGGCCTTGTGCTATATCTAATCTACGCTTAGAAAAAACACTATATTCTTCCCGAGGTAGAACGATCAATATGTCCGTATAGTCAGAATAAATCAATATATATCCAATATTATTGGTGATGACCTGGCATCTCGACTTCAGTGACTTTCCCACCGCCGTAATGTCGCTTCCCTCTGCCTTTTCTAGAAATCCTTTCGTGGTAATTGTTCTGATGAACATTTCTCTGTGATCGCTGGATTTTATGAATTTAAGCGCAGTGCTGGAATGGCGTCAAGATCTCATTATTTTGCTGTTGAAATAGCTCGATGCAGCTAACAGTCTTTTCTCTCGCACTTCTTGCTTGTAGAACTCTCTTCTGGCTTCTTGCTTTCCAGTCAACTTTGATCTTCAAAAATTTAAATGCAATGTCAATCGTTATCTTCTCTATTCTTAATTTTTGTTCTTTTATTGTCTCTCTGCTTAAAAGAGTTTTTTCCACATATTCTCTAACATTCAGTAACCCTTGAAATCTTACTGGCTATGTCACCTTGCTTGGAGGAAAGTAATTAAAGAAAAGCCATTGCCACTGACCTTGACCTTTATATAACATGCAAGGAACATCAAATTAGCACCAAACATTTTATCAGAAAATATTTCCGAAGATTTAATATTTTAACTGTTGAACTGATTTATTTCCTAAATACCTCAAACATTTTTTAAGTATTAGAGAATAATGTGTTTTAATGTAATTATACATAAAGATAAGACTGTATGCAAAAAATATAGTTTCTGCTTCTCCCTCTGACAAAAGTATTAGAAATCGATTTAATTCATAGATTTTCATAGTACAATGTATACATATTAAATTTAAGAAAAGATAAATTTATTCCTAAAAATATTTATTGATAAAAGATCATTTTCTTTAAATTAAAAAAATGATTGAAAAATTACCTGCACCAAATTTCGAAAGCAGATGATGTTAACGTCTGCTTTCTTACAATTTTTTGGGAATGAAAAAAATGAGGGAAAAAAGGAGGAAGAAATAAAAAAAAATGTTGCATGCATTCGCCTCCTGCTACGTAGAACCCCAAAAGAAAATCCGGTTTGTCTATATATGGGGTTGGCATCTTTCAGAACGATAATTGTGTATATGTTTCGTCACGCGAAAATAAAATTAATTTTTTTCTCTCCATTTTTCCTCCCTGATGCCAAATATAACAGGATAATTTTCGTACTTATTTTTTTTTAAAGATTAGCCAGCCTAATTTATGAATAGTAAAAGCATCGGTATCCCTTGGACAGAAAATAAAATTGCTGAAAAACAAGAGATACCATCTTCCCAGATATAAAATAAGAACACGAGATTCAAATAGATTTCGCTGCTTTTCATCCAACTATATAGAGATCATCAACAAGTAACGAATCATTTTTTAATTTAGAGTTTAGGTATTAAAGAAAGATAACTGAAACTGAGTTATCCGACAAGAATATGATACGTGTAACTAGAACAATTTACAAGCGTGGATTAAATAAACGGTTTCTTTTCAAAATTTCGACCTATGCCTTCTGAAGAAACCGCTGAGAGATGGTATGAACACCAATCTGAAACAGTTACACAAAATAACGATGTAACTAGCCTCTGGGACATGCCAATTCAAACTGACATGGAAATAAAAGCCAACATACCTGATACTATCATAAAAGACAAGAAATCCAGGCAGTGTATGCTTCTTGACATAGCAGTACCATCTGCGAGAAACATCGCCATAAAAAAAAAAAAAAAAATATCGAGAAATTGTCCAAATACAAGGACCTGGAGATCGAGATTAACAGGATGTGGGGAATGAAGATTGAGATTGAATCAATAGTAATCGGAGCTCTGGGCCTCGTGAGAAAAAGAATGGGCAATTTTACTAACGGTGTCCCAGGTAACATCAACATACAAGATGCCCAGATCGCTCTATACGTACATCGCATATATTAAGAAAAATGCTATCAATTAAATGACTATTCTCCTATAGTGTTTAAGGACCATAGTTTGGACCCGGCTCTATAGGACACAAAGCAGGAAACATAACACACATTATTATTATTATTATTATTATTATTATTATTATTATTATATTTTAACTCACTACTACACACGTTAAACGTTGAAGACAGATTAGCCACAAATGTACACGAATGGCAAATGTAACTTAGTCTACATAACGACACAGCGAAATCTAGCGTAATCCTTCTTTAAACTTAATGATTCAAAAAAGAAGGATTTGCGAACATATGTTTATATGATCGTTTGTCCTCGTTTTGGTGTGAATAACCCGCCCCCAAAGTTTGTAAAAGTATTTTAACAACTTATATATATATATATATATATATATATATATATATATATATATATATATATCTTAAAATCCATACTATTGAATTTAGTATTTAGCTTTTCAGTTATTATCGACTTGTGATATTTAAGACAATTGACAGGTAAATACATCGGACCGACAGACCTCTTCTCAACGCATTTTGTAACTGACAAGATCCTAACTGCCAACAGTACATCTTTAAAGACTATCAAATAACAACAGTCTCAAAAGCACACGAAAAACACAAAAACAAAACAAACATATTTGTTGTTTAGTGTCGATGAAACATTTCTACATATGTCGATTGGGATATAAATTTAGCAACGCTCAACGTTATGACTATAGCTTGTTAACCAATACATCGATCGCCTTCGGCGTGCAAGGACCTTCTGTTTTTCTTTTCTCTGTTTTATTTACTCACTTTTGCAAAGACACAATTCATAAACTTTCAATTCCAGCTGTGTTAGCTGAATGCTTTTCGACATTTTTTTTTCTCTGGATAGTTGCATTGATTTCATGAAGCGGTTCTAGCAGGAATATTAATTACGTTAGAATATAGATGAAGATATTAGAGGTCTGGTACGATTATATATGTGATTGCTACATCCAAGCTGTTCCCCTTTGCGTGTTGCGTGTGTGTTAGCGAGGAGATAACGATGCATAGATTCGCTGAGGAAGAACATCTTGAGAATTCGACATCTTGAGAATTCCTTTCATTAGCTCTCGAATGTTTTAACTTTTTCTAAGAGTAGGAGATGCTAGAAATAACCAAAAAAAAAAAACAAAAAAAAACATTCTATTTATTAAGCTTACATCGGTCTGGTACAAGGTCGGAATAATGTGTCTGGTACACGGCATCAATAGTGGGGTATGCATGAGGATGCCGTTTTCTCCAATATTTGTTGGGGTTAGGGCCATGCCACGTTGAAACAGCAGTTCCCGTACGATCACAGAATTTAAGCAACATCGATCCTCTTTAGTACTTAGGTGACCGCTTGGGAAGTCTTTGGTGCTGTGAACTTGGAGTTGCGGGTGTTTAATGGATAAAGGCTCGGAATTGAGAATCAGAGAATCGAGTTCGAATTCCAGTCGGGTTCGTTATATTTACTTTCATACTTATCTTTTGGAAACGTAAGTGTTGTGGTACGATCCACCTAATTTACATAGTGGAGTACCGACCATATAAATATGGGTTGGTACCGGGAAGACGGGGGGAGGAAGAAGAGATGCAATCCAGAGACTCTGCCCGACTGTGACTAAGTCAACCCATTCTACAGGAACGGTCTTCCCAAGAATATACCAAACTATCTGTAAATATTGTGTACACGTTCTTGTGTAAATACATTTTGTTTAAGTACATTTTGTGTTGTATTATTATTATACCATGCTTATTCAAGTTTCAACAGTAAGAATCTACCTTTTCTGCATATATCTGTAGAAGTTAATAAGCTTGTAGCCTTTGTGCGTGTTTTAGGTGAAGGTGCTGGTTTAATATGAAAACTAAGAAGATAGAAGCATACAAAAACAGAAGTTTCTGCTATGGACGTTTATTCATTCTATTCTGTCTATAGTGAAACAGATTCCTCGATGTTTTTTCAGTATGCCTATTTTCTTTCTTTTTTGTTTCAGAAGTTAGGATAAGAAGGGTTAAAATGGTTGAGCTCAAGTCAGCTTTGCGCTGTGCTGGAACGATCAATTCACTTGATTCATGCAAATGTCTACCAAAACATGTCAGAACGATGTCGTTGGATATAGGAAAAGAGAAGTAGTTTGTTCTTTCCGGAAGTGGAATCATAAAACCGCGCTTGTGATTCAAAATATTTCCGGTTTCTTTATGACTTGCATAATGAGAAAACACATTTCTTCTTCTTATTATTATTTTTATTGGTTTTATTTAATTTTCCCATGAGTTAATTAGGAATGTTTTTATCAATAAATTACTATTGTCTCGAGAAGTAAAAATTTCTTAATTCTAAAAACATTAAATTACCTGTAAAAGTTTGACCAGCAGTAAAAAACATATGAATAATTAAAAAAGCATTAAAAACATTTAAAACATCTGAACCATTAAAAAAGCATTAAAAAACATTAAAAACGTACGAACAATTAAAAAAATATTAAAATGCATTAAAAACATACCAACCTTTAAAAAAGCATTAAAACATACGAGCCATTAAAAAAGTATTAAAATGCATTAAAAACATAAAAAACCATTAAAAGACATTAAAAACATACGAACCATTAAAAAACAAAGCTCTTTTTCACTATTTTTTTTCGTATAATGCGACTGATAGCGTTTGTTCTCACTATCACTGAATCAGTGTAGAAAAAGCTGAGTTGTAACTTTTGTATTAAAAGTTATAAGCCAGTTTTCTCCACATTGATCCATAATATTACGAGTAATGTTTTATCATCACCAATTAGAGGCTCAGTGTTCTCCTGGAACGATAAGGAATTGTCTCCTCAATGAGGCTTTTTGCTTTGAACGTCTATAGGGACTCAGGTTCAATCCAGACCCCAAGTGGAAGTCATATACAATCCACTGCTCAAGATGCGATTACCGCAATTCCCCTTGTAAATTACGCCTTCATCCATAATACGCATACCTAAAATTGTGATGAATGTGTGGGAAAATGCTTCTACCTATGCATAATACGCACCCCTTGTTTTGTAAACATTCCCTATAAATTCTCCCTCTCCAAATTCATTACGGCTAGCGTTTCCGACTCTCATTTAAAAAAAATGGTTTTAAAAATAGAGTAATATTATTCTAATTTAATTTTATCATTATTCTCATTTTACTTTACGGAAATTTTTCAAAGATTTTTTTGTGGTTGTGCATAATATGCACCCTTGATTTTGCTTATTAATTTTTAGAAAAAAGTGTGTATTATACATGGCGAATTACGGTATATTGTACGGAAAATAATGTCCGATTTCAAAATAAGCCCTTGTGTTCTGATATTTTAAAAAAAATCATTTCATCCCATGCAAAGCGTTAATGCTATTAATGTTTTAGGAATTACTGGGAAAGAATGCAAAGACTTGACGTGAGGAGAAATGGCAAGAAAAGAACAGGTCTCAGGTAGACAAGAAGATGACTATTCGCTTTGCATTTAAATCTCTGAAAATGGTACGTGGCAGGGAAGCAAGGAACTGAAAGAGATCTCCAGAGTGAAAAAAAAAATATTAGAATAGAAATTCCGGTTAAATATAAGAACTTCTATTGTAAAACGATAATTTTTCTTTTTCTTAATCTTTTATTAGCTTCAGTAAGTCAACTTATTTAAAGAAGAGCTTTTATTTATGAGTACACGCTTGTTTAAATTAACTGAAACAAAACGAATAATTTCGTTATTATTTACATTTTTATTCGTATTTTTCGAATGAAACATGACACAGTGCACAGTTTCGTACGTTGTATTTCCATTGCAGATTGACCACAGATTCTCGATTGGATTTAAATCAGGAGAGTTTCTGTGCCAGTCTATAGTACTTTGATTTGCTCACTGCTAAGGCTTGTCTGTGTTTGTGCAGCGTTAAAATTTTCGTACACTTCCTTGGAGTAGCGTCCATCGCAGGCAATGATCGTAGAACAACTAATCGACACTGAGACAATAGTGTCTGGGAGTGATGACAATATGACAAAATCACGGATGATGCAATATTTTTCAAGTCCAAACAAATTTCATCATACACTCCGAAAATAGATCCCTATTATTGTACACCACTGCAAATGAACTTATCTGAGGAAAAAATAGAAATCGATTACACCCTATCACACCAGTGTGTTTAAACTGACTGTATGGTGAAAGAAAGGAAATTAAAAGGTTGATTCAACTAATTTGCACAAGGGTTATAGACTACAAAACTATGTATCTGATTAACACCATACAAATTATAAAGGGAAATATTTCAATGCGAAAACAAGGATTTGCTTACTCAAATATGACACAAAATATATATCGATAATAATAGTATATTCGCCTACTTGTTTTCGTGGATGTTTCAATGCTATAGTGGCTAGCTAATCCCTCTTGTAGAGGACTGCTCAGGAACATTCATGTTTTCTGGCACTCAAAAATTCAAAATATGAGTTTTATACTGCAAAGCCTCTATGAGGACCATGTTTACAGACATGAGAAGAGAGAGTATCATCTGGTGTGATCAGCAGTTGACCAAGATTAATAAAGACCAATACCGATTTCTTGCTAGAGATTATTTAATTTCAACCCATTGATTTGTTTAATTAAATTTGACACTATCTATCTATCTATCTATCTATCTATCTATCTATCTATCTATCTATAATGAACTCTCCCGTCGGTTTCGACGTATGTGGATCTGACAGCTTAGTTGGTTCAGTTATCAAATTTTGTGCGATAATCTTATCTGATATTTAAGACCCGCTAGTGATTTACAAAGGAGGCCATGTATGAAGTAAGAGTGAGGATTGTGAGATGAGATCACTGTTAGATTGGCTGACCTTTTAAATCTTGCTCTCGCTTCTTGAAGATGATTCAGACAAGTAGATTGAAAACTGCTGAGACCATTAAAACACGTTGATCTCTATTCTACCAGCTCCAAGGCTAATCGCTCAAGTGTGTTATGTGGTATATTGACAGCTGACACACACACACACACACACACACACACATATATATATATATATATATATATATATATATATATATATGGTGTATCAAAAATATTTTACAAACTTTGGGGCGGGTTGCTCACATAAAAGCAAGGGTAATATTCCATATAAACACATGTCTACAGATCCTTCGTTTTTGAGTTATTAAGGTTATGAAGGTTTAAGGTAGGGGTGGTCTGTAGACTAGGTTACATTTGCCATTCGTGTACAGTTGTGGCTAGTCTGTCTTCAACGTTTAACGTGTGTACTAGTGACTTAACTGAGAAGTGTTCCGTTTAGCAATAGCGGGATATTCATATCGTGAGCAGGCAGATATGATTTTTACATACGGGCACGCGAATAGTCTTGGACGCGGGGCTGCGCGGCAGTACCAGATTTTGTTTCCAGACAAAAATCAGCCAAGTCATCCAACCTTTGCTGATGTCTATCGACGCGTTGCTGAGATAGGATCCGTCGAATCACAAAATATGGATTGAGGACGACCGAAACACATTCACTGGCTGTCAGAGACGATCTAGGTATCAGCACACGTCAGATGGCCCTAGCATGTCGTACATAACATAGTAGCGTATGAAGGGTGATTCAAGAGTAGCTCCTGTATCCGTATCATTTGCAACACGTGTAGGGTCTTTCACCCTCAAATCACTCATCCAAGGGAGAACCTTTGCCGATGGTTTTTTGTACAAATTGACGATCCTTTCTTTGTCTCTTCGGATTTGCTAACCTCTGAGAAAAACATTTGGAAGAGATAGAATAACAAATTTACACAACCAACACTTGCGAGCGGATCAGAATCCTCAGGGTACAATACAGGGTAGAAACCTGCATCAGATTACGTGTGTGGGCTGGAATCGTAGGTGACTGTCTGGTGAGATCATCTGTTCACCTAGCACGCCTTACACGGACGACTTACAGGGACTTTTTTTCAAATACACTTCCAGGTCTGCTAGTGGACATACCTCTGCCCATAGGAAGATACGTGGTTCATACATGATGTGCTTCAACACACATTTTACTCACACTGCTCCCCTATGAACTGGCTGACATCTACCATGAAAAATGGGTAGGTAGGGGAGAACTGGATCATTGGTCTGCATGATTCCCCGACCCCTCATTCATTTCGATGTTTTGTCTATAGGTTCACCTAAAAGAATTGGTTTATATAGCAGATATTAATAATGCTTCATCAACGTGTCATGGGGGCCTGCAAAACCATCCGATTCCGCGTGGGTGTATTTGAAAGGGTCCGCTAGTCAATGGTCTGACGGGTTGATGTGTGTGTAGAACAAGTGGAGGACATTTTGAACATTTGGTATGAGTTGCTTTGTAAAGGTTCAACGATGCCCTTTTGGAGATATGT